GGTTTTGTCATCATCAGGTACCTGTTATCACAATACAGTCAATGATAAATTCACTTACTTTACCCTGTGGGTTACCACAGTTGTATCCAGATCTTTAAAAATGTCCACACAGGCTGGTTCAATTACTGTGGAATCCAACTGACAAGATGAATTATTCTTCTTTACTCTGTATTACAATACAATCTGAAATTACTACACTTTAAAAGTCACCGTTATACACTCTTTATAGCTAAACTCACAATTACCCAGTCTATATCTATCTCTCTTTCTTTTACTTAACTTTCTATCACATTTTGTACACATATTTATAAATAGTTCAACCGAGACTTAGAACCTTCTACACAATATGAGATGTTATAATGTAACAATATTCACCTAAAGCAACGAGAAACATTCAGAAGGTTTAAGTAACATAATGTCAATTCACAACTAAACTATACAACAAATGATTCATAAACAGTATGTAAGCAAACCTGTGATAAATTATCACTTCTGAGACTACTAAATTTAACACTCACATTTTATAATTATCTAAATCATAACTCTCATATTAAATTTAAATGAAATGTTGTGTATGTCTAGCATACTTGAAAGTATATATAACAGTTTAAAGATTTGCAATTTGATTATGTTATATATTCTTCCTAGGGCTTGCAGTTACTGTGCAATTAAAAGTTTGTGAAATAAATCCATATGTATATTTGCACACATATAGTTTTAGTTTGAGGTTTACATCTTTAAATGTTCATTTGTATGTGCTAAACTTCCACAGTTCAGAACTTTCAGAAACTTCTGTGGCCTTTTAAAAATCTAACTGCACTGTTTTTCTAGCAGTAGAACAAATGTTGTGAACAAAAAACTACTTGTCCAATGGAAGTATAACAGTAAAACTTGTCCCTCAGAGAAATCTTGATGTCTCGGGTATTGTTCATATTAATTCCACACCCATAGACAAAACTACATGTAATAATGCTATGATCACTCTTCAAAAATGTTTCCATACTTCAACTCTTGCAACTGTATCTTCATTATTGGTTAACAGTAACTCTAAAATGACATCTCTCCTGTTTTTTTATCTGACAATTTTGTATAGAAAGAACAACCCGGATCACTTCAACAAATCTCTCCCTCACTACTCAACTGTTTATAATACCAATCAGTGTGCCTAAAATTAAAGTCTCTAATAAATAGTGCATTAGTATTCTTATTGGTAACAACCCTGTTCTCTTTGCACAATTTACCATTGATCTCATATGTCTGATCAAGTTGCCTATAATAATTACTAATTACAAACTTTCTACCTTTGGTTGTAACTTGTATTGATTCAATCTCTAGACTACTATTTCTTGTGTTTTCAATACTAATAGGCAGCAGTCAAAAGAATCATCCCATACCCACTTTTAAAAACCCTATCACTATTGGCTTATAATCTGGAATTTCAAAATTATCCATTTCAGTATTCTCAAACAAACCAAGTTTCAGCAATTCCCATTATATCATAGTCTTTCATTTCAACTAGAGCCCTGAACTCATGCAATTTGTTCCTAATACTTCTAAAATGAGAGTATCAGCTACCAAGTTCATTTTTGAATCTGCTATGTTTATCATTAAATCTTATAGACTTATGGTCTAAGTCTCCTATTTGCAAAGTTCTTGATGTTCTAGTTATCCTATCAATCTGTTTATTCCCAATTTACCAAGCTCCAGTCCCGCACCTGTAGCACACCTTAAGTTAACTTCAGTGCGTATGTGTATATATATATAAAGCTTCTCCATATGTCCTACTAACCTGAATAAGTGGAGTCCTCTAGCATATAATTCAGCCTTATCCTTAAAACTGTCCCACAGATTTGATAAGACCACCTATTGTTCTAAGCATATCTCTGACAATCTTTCATTTAAGCATATTCCTTGGAACCAGCAATCAAACTGTCCTTTATATGCTCCCAACTACAAATAAGTAGATTCATATACTTAAATGAGAAATTTCCCACAATATAAACCTCTTGATCATTATCTTCCTCACTACAAGCAACCAATCTGTATCTCCAGTGAATAGCCTTATCTTTTTTTACTACTGTGCATACTTATAAACTTAACACTCATTCTCAATATTCCCTAAAGTAATCTTTACCCTAACTGTATCTAACTCTTGTCTTGCTTTTTTGATTTCCTCTCCTAATATATTTTATCCCTCTACTGGTCCAATCTTTCCCTAAGCTATCTCTATTTTATCTTCTGCCTCCTGAAATTCACAATCAAGCTCACAAACACAACTCAGCCCTAGCACCATTTGAACCCTATAAATTCTACCCCTATTTACCCCAGAACTACCTCTAACCATAAAGAAGTTGATTATTCTTTATTCTCTGTTTTCAATATACTCATACATTAATTGAGTATTTAACTGTTTCATACTTTATAGATTACTAACACTTAAATCCCTTATTAACTAATACTGATACTACTACAACAGCTATGATGTAAAGCACGTCCAGTTACATATAACTAAATTGCTGATTTGAATTATTTACCTATGTATTAAATCCTCAGCAGCTACTAAATAATACAAACAATAATTTCAATTCTTATATAACTAAACTTTCCCTCTTACTTAACTAACACTTGTGATAATTCTTTATATAAAATTAATTTTTAATAACTGTAGTACCTTATAATTTAGTAAAAAAATACCTCAAAAAACTAGTAAATCATGACAGAACAAGAGTTCACAATCTATCCATATATCACAATCCATCCATCCCTGGAATTATCCTTGTAGCCCTCCTCTGAACCCACTTCCACAATTCAATGTTACTCCTAAAATAAGAGTACCAAAACTGCATACAACTCTCCAAATGATGCCTAACTAAGGACTTATACAACCTATCACTGTCTCAAATGCTTAAGAGTTGAATCAAGTGATACTCCAAGATCCTTTTCCTTATTCATATAATCAATAGGACTGCCATCAAATATATGTATAATCATACACGCACTGTTTTTCTACCTAGCCAATTGATTTAAGTCCCTCTGTAAAATCATAGCATCCTTGTCACAGCTAGTCAGAGCTACCATTTTTATATAATTAATATACTTAACCAATTTCTTAACTATGTCCTTATCAATGTCATTAAGATAAATGACAAATAGAAACAGTTCCAGCTTATCAATATCTTTCTCAGAAACCAAGCAATCCCACTCCTCTGGTCTCGACTACCTCTTTTAAACAATCTTTCGGTGTTGGGTAACTTATAGACTAAAATTTCAAAATAATTCATCATCATTGTTAGAGCTCGGCAATTAGAGAAATTTCTTCACTGATTAAATATCTGGTACGACTGATCAATTACATTCAAATAAATGATTATGCTTACATGACACTTAAATGATTAGAAAAACTGGAATTACTAATTCTGATTTGCTGATTATTTTCATAAGACATGACACTAATTGACCATGATGAACAACCTTGAATTAATCAAAAATAATATTTAGAAATCATAATGGCAAAATTTTGATTACTTAGATAGTTGGAACGACTGGAAACATTAATTCTAATTAGTTGGTTATTTTCATGGCATTAATCAATTAAATTGTAATTTCAATTGATCAATTATTTTATGACAAACCAATGTAAACAATACTCATGGGTAACCATTTATATCAATTAATCAAGTTAATCACTCAGCTCTAATCACTGCCCTTTAAATGTACTCCAATTATATCTTAATCCCCTATTCCAATAACAGCTCTGAATTCACTATTTCATTCCAAATAATTCTAATATAACATTATGGACAACATAGAACCATTTGGTCATTCAAAGTTATCTCTGTATACCCCTTGAGAATAAGTAAAAATTTAAATGCAAAATTTATATTTCAAGAAACCATCTATTCCCTTCTTACATTCTAGTAGTACTACTGCCAATAGCAATTTATTGAATAATAACTACTTATTAAAACAAAAGAAAAAATTAGATTCATTAACTGAAGTATTTCGTTAAAAGGGTCTATAAATAAGCTTTGAGTTTGAACAGGGAGGGGTGAGAAAAATGACAGATTTCTCTCAAGTTATGAAAACAAATGAGGAACAATCACTTTAAGTTTAACTCAAGTTTAAGAGTCGCTAATACGATAGAAATATATAGTTATAGCTATGGTATAGGTTATTATTATAAATATAATCTCAAGCCAAGCTGTAGTTTAGTTATCATTGTAAACGGTTAACTTAACGTCTTAAGCCTCAGGCCTTAAGTTAAGGATAGGCAGAAGCCCTCAGTATCAACGCAGTAGTACAATACAAGTAGATGTAATATGTAAATCTAATTTCTATCAGTAAATTCTAAGAGCAAGAATAAAATGTAACTTGAAGTTGATGCAGCAATATACCGAAAAAATCAATACTAACTGTTCAATTTCAAGCTCCAACGATAAAATGCTGTTGGAACACCTTACTAAGACCCCAGCACCCTCTTATATAGTAAACATTTATATAGCGCCATAACTCGAATAATTTCATGATTATATTTTCTGGTGTCTTTTAAAATCATTATAGTATAGAACACGCAGGGTGGTTCGGCCGAACCCCCATGTTTGTGATATAAAAATTTATGCTTATATAGTTAACAGACAGGATATAAATCGTAACAGGAAAGATAGTTTTTATGAAGAAATTCATCGACGAAAGACAGGATGGCTTCCTATACCTCTCTAGGACAGCACCCAGATAATGACTGACAGCTTAAAAGCGTGGTTCAGTGTACCAAATACATTTATGTTACCGAACCTGTTTCCACACTGCCACTAAGTTCATGTTCATGTGAGCGTTCGGTATCTGCTCTCCGCCAGTTGAATAATTACTTGAGACCAAGAAAGAAAAAGACTGAGTGCTCTAGCTTTAATACATAATTATTATGACATTGCTATCAACATTGGAACTGTATGTAAGTTATTTATGGAAAAGCATCGCAGAAGAATGAAGCATGCTCAAATGTTATTTCAGTGTTGCATACATGATTGGAATATCTAAAATACTATTTTGTACAGAGTTGTTTAAATCTATATAATATAATACTACTGTCTGTTGTATGTTCATGTAACTACTTCACAG